ACTGTTCTCTAATTGGCAGTATCATTACGTTATATATTAATAGGCCATAAGTTATATAAATAATATTGTTGTAAATGAAGAAGTTAAGAAAGGAAAATCAATACGAAATTAGAGAGTGCTTTGGTAAAAATAAGATGACCATACATTAAATATACTCTTTTCACATCTCCCTTCAGTTGTCTTGTGCGCGCTTCACGATTCTACTCATCACATTGTTATTCCAAATGCTATCTATTTCCTTTCCTGTTCTCTTCAATTCAATCTTCCTGCAAGTATTATACTACTGATTGGTGCTACATACTATTTATATCTGTCAACAGAATTAGCATACAGTAGTTTGGCAAATAATTTTTCAAATACATATAACAAGATTATGATAACTTAGAATCTGCCTAGTGTTGAAATCGTCTACATCAATAGAGGTTACAATCCTAAAGTAATACGATACTAAAAGTAATATTATGTCTGTTCTCAACAAAATCTATTCATTTAACTAAATAAAACTAGTTTTTACTATACGTGAGAGAAAAATCATCTTCATGACCAGCAACAAAACCTAAAACTTTACATCCGTAACTGCTGTACAAAAAAGAAACATATCAGTATCTAAAATGGGCACAACAATTCCTTACTTAAGTAATAAGTCTGCTACTTGAACGCTTGATACTGCCTTTTTATAGCCGTTTATAACCTCAGACTACTCCTACATATTAATTTGAACAATAAAGAAAAGACACAAAATACGAGTGACAGATTTATTTTAAAGTTACAGAAAATCTAGTGTATTAATAGATTTCTGTGTGACTGAACTGGAGAACTTTCCAGAAGCATTCTAAGTATTATAACGGTATGGGTAGTTATCTAATCAAAAACGCGACAAATGATCCTTCGTTCTCTTGATGTTTCTGAAAAGCTGATATTCAATGCTGTTTAGATCAAATATTTCTTGATCTCTTGTGGTCTTCTAGAGATTTTGACACAGAACATTGCTGGACTTCACAAATAAAGCAACTATTCTTAAAACTGGTAAACCGAGATATTGTAACTGAGTATTCATGCTCTCCATACATTAGGTAGCCTTTCCACTTACTCGGGTTCTTATTCATTGTGAAATTTTCTAAATCCGTTAAACATCCTTTTATGGAGTAACACCAACCTGGAAAAACTTTAAATAGTTAATAACCTAAAGAAGAAATGATTTTTTGATGATAGACGAAGTTTCCCTTATCGAATAGTCATTAATTCATTATCAACGATGCAATTAGCTTTTTGACTTATATAAATAACAAATTATACAGGATACTTAATCTGGAGTAATCAAAGTTTCTCGAGAGGTGTTATAACGTGAAAAATATTTGCTGCGGATTAAGGGTAGCGAATTATTGCTCGGACCAAAGACGCGCAAACACGTAGAACGACCTAGGGTTCTGATTGGTCTCGCTTCCCTGTCTAGCCCAGCCAGATGAGTCCAGAACCGAACAAATGCCATAGGTGAAAAGAACAAGAACATAGATTGGAACAAAATGACATTTCAGCAAGTTTTAATCAAACGGTTAGAAGCTGAGAAATTCTCATCTCGAAATCTCAAATGAGATTTATCATACTTTATAGAAATGAAATCGATCAAAAGTTATTTATACACTTATCAGTCTAATGTTGTATAGTGTTAGTTTAAAATGAAGTTCATAAGATTAAGATGTAAAAATTAAAGATCAAACCCAAAGGATGGTTTGGGACATCGACTTGATTAGACATGAAGGAAGGAAGGATTTGAAATCAGCTTTTGAGTCATTAACTGAATGAACACAAATTGAAGACACTTAAGAATGATATCGTAGGATAAACTAAAAAACTGTTGGAAAAATGTTGTAGCCAAACGGGAGAAGAAAACAAGACGTTCCATTTCTAGAGAAGAAAATTGATAAAAGCTTTTTCAGAAGCACTATATACTGTCTCCCCTACCAATATAACTCCTCTTAAAACTTGATATGTAGGATTGCTAGTATATTCAGGCAAAATCCTTCATCTAAATACCATCAAACTAAATTTAACTAATTATGTTTGAACTGTGGCAAGCCCATTTGGCCACTGTATCATATGTCTATTCATTGTAACTTAGACTCTTAATTCACTATGTTAATTTCGGAGTGTATGATCGAATGCATGTCTGTACATTAACTTTTAAACTATTTTCCTATTGGTTTCAACGTGCAGATAATCGATAATTTATCTACACCCGATTAACCCTCAAATATATATGGATTTTTAACAAACTCACTCACTCTCTCTGTTCTCATCGTGTGCTTGCTCACAATACGCTTGTGGATTATCATTATTCATTAACAATAAATTATCTCTATAACTGGTGTTCAGGCTTTTTAATAATCTCGAGTAAATTCACAATTCTACTAAGAGATTAAGCCTACCAAAAATGCTCAGTTTTACGGGATATTATTATTCGGAGTCAGATATTAAGGACCTTATCCATAACATATTGGTGACCCGCCTTTAGAACGCGCACCATATTCCTCCAAAGTCTGCTGCATTCTCCTCAAGAGTATCATAAAGAACTTCATATTGGAATTATTATTATAATTAATAACAATCCATTGACAGTCATAATAAATTCACTCATAATATTTTCCCTTTGGAATTATTACTGTATATTCTCATATATATACCCAAAGTGACAATTTTTCTTTTCGGTGAGTCTTATATATATATTTTTTGTTGTTGTTATTTTTGATTTCTCTTCATATTGTATATTACAATCCTCAGCTTATTATTACTATTGCTTTTTCGTATCATGGCACTTGATAATTCGTTAAGCCTTTCATCTAAATCTATTTCCGTGGGTGCCATCTCTGTACCTTTACCCATTTTTAATCCACGAAAGGCTGAACTCTGGTTTGCTCGTTTGGAAAGCTTTTTTGTTGCAAACAAAATCACAAACCAGAGTACGAAATTTAGTTATGCAAATTCACTGCTGCCAGATGACGTCATTGAACAAGTGCCGGATGTCATTTTTAAGCCGGATCCTGACTCACCATTCGATTGTCTAAAAAGAGAGGTCATTCGTGTCACATCTCTCACCGATCAACAGACAATTGATCAACTTTTAGCCAACGTGGAGCTAGGTGACAATACACCGTCACAGTTAAAACGCCACATGACAAACTTATTAGGAAATCGTACAGTAGACAAACGTCTACTATATCAATTGTGGCTCAGACGTCTCCCTCAAAACATTCAACAGATACTAGCAATTGGAGACGAAGACGTTGATTTTGATAGACTAGCAGACATAGCCGACAGAATTTACGAACGGTCCAAGACTCACCTTGTATCTCAAATCCAATCAAGCTCAGCTGACGAGATCGCCGAGTTACGACGATCAGTTGATACCCTTACAAAACAGATAGCTCAGATCCAATTATTGAATGCCTCCCACAGCAAGCGTAGAGGAACATCCACAAGCCGTAGACGACGTAGTCCAAGCACTACTAGACACAACATTTGCTGGTACCATAGAACATATGGCAAACAAGCTAGAAAATGTACTCCGCCTTGTAACTTTGCCAGCACACAGAAAAAGGAACGTCAAGACCGTAGGTTAATGACGACTGCACTCACTGACCACAACTTTCAAGACAGTCGTCTATTATATGTTACAGACAAAAGGACCGGCACACAGTTTTTAGTCGACACTGGGGCAGAGGTTAGTGTAGTACCACCTACTGCACTCGAGAAAAACACACCTGACCCCAAACTAAAACTACAAGCTGCAAACAGGTCTGACATCAAGACGTACGGCAAAAGGCGGTTGCAATTAAATTTCGGTCCTAAATCTAATTTTTCCTGGAGTTTCATCATAGCGGACGTCCTCGTTCCTATAATCGGCATTGATTTTCTGCAATTCCACAAAATACTGGTAGACGTCAGAAATAGGAAACTTGTCCTTGCCGAACAGAGTAAGGAAATTAGAGGAATTATATCAAATGAGACTTCCATACATTTATTAGTTAAACCTCATCATGAGAACGACAAATACGTCAATTTACTTAATCAGTTTCCAGATTTATTACGACCGAGTTTCAAACACGACAAACCGACGCATACCGTCGTACACCACATAAAGACAGAGGGTCCACCTGTGTTCGCACGTCCAAGACCCCTTGATCCCCCTCGTCTGGCTATCGCAAAGAACGAATTCAACAAAATGATTGAGTTGGGCATCATACGCCCCTCCGATAGTCCGTGGACATCACCGCTTCATATGGTACCTAAGAAAAACTCTTCCGAAGTTAGACCGTGCGGTGACTATAGAGCTCTCAACAGCCGGACCATACCAGATAGATATCCTCTCCCACATCTGCATGACTTCACTCATAGCCTATCTGACGTGTCGATTTTTTCAAAAATTGATCTCGTCTGTGCTTACCATCACATTCCAATTCATCCGGACGATGTTCCTAAAACAGCCATTACTACCCCCTTTGGACTATACGAATTCGTCCGCATGCCTTTCGGATTAAGGAATGCTGCACAAAGTTTCCAGCGTTTTATTGACCAAGTGGTACGGGGCTTACCGTTTGTGTATGCTTACATAGATGACCTACTTATAGCAAGCAAAGATGAAAATGAACATCTAACTCATCTGAAAATGCTTTTTGAGAAGCTAAACGAGTATGGGTTAGCGGTCAATCCTGACAAATGTGAGTTCGGAAAACAATCCCTCACCTTTTTAGGTCACGTACTTGATAAGCAAGGCATTAAACCAGTTCCTGAGGAAACACAAGCTATCAAAAATTATCCTTTGCCTGATTCATTCAAGAAACTACGACGTTTCCTTGGGATGATAAACTTTTACAGACGCTTTAAGGGTAATGTCCTTAATATCTGACTCCAAATAATAATATTCCATTAACTGAGTATTTAAGGTAGGCTTAATCTCCTAGTAGAATTACGGATTTACTCGAGATTATTAAGAAGCCTGAACACCAGTTATGGATATAGTTTATTATTAATGAATAATGATAATCCACAAGCGTATTGTGAGCAAGCACACGATGAGAACAGAGAGAGTGAGTGAGTTTGTTAAAAATCCATATATATTTGAGGGTTAATCGGGTGTAGATAAATTATCGATTATCTGCACGTTGAAACCAATAGGAAAATAGTTTAAAAGTTAATGTACAGACATGCATTCGATCATACACTCCGAAATTAACATAGTGAATTAAGAGTCTAAGTTACAATGAATAGACATATGATACAGTGGCCAAATGGGCTTGCCACATAACTAAGCTTCTTAGTGGTATGTGCGTATTTCTTTTGCAAACTGTATTGAATTCTACGAAGGATTATATTTTTTGATCAAACATCATCGTGAGTGCGAATTTTGTAAATGATTTTCATGTTTCAAAAATTTACTATTACTATTACGGAAGCTTCGAGAAAATAGTGTAAATAATCTATTATAGCCCACCTTTTATAGCCATTATTTTAACGTTATCATTCATATCATTCTTTAAAATGTTAAGCAATCCATTAAAAATGACTGTTTCTGTAGCTACGTCCTGTTGCTCAATGATAACACATGCCATTTTACGTACACAACTACATTCATCCATTAAAGCCAAATGAAGCTGTTTGATTAAATCATCGTGTGAAAGACCTGAAAATGAAAAATAACAATGATAACCAAAAGTAAAATAAAATTGTACTGAAACTTCAATTAATCAATTTCAATTGATGCTTTTATCCTAAATCTGAATATTTTGCGTGAAATCAGTATTTTTTTAAAAAGTTAAAATGATTTATATTAGAATTAATCTTAGCGATTTGTAAACGAAAATCACTAATATATGATCAGGGTTTAGAAGATAAAACTAGGCATTTATCTGCTTGAAATAAAAAAAACATTATTAAGTAGCTATACACTGCAAATCCTGTTTGCAAGTTCGCCGATGCGCAAAACTGAAGAGTCCTATACTGGAAAGAAACATCTGTCCAGTTCTTCCGGGTTTTCAGTGGTTGTTTAAGTTTGATTGGCTCGTGATTACAAAGAAACTCAACAATCTCCACAACTCCATACTGCTGATAGTCAGTGCTTATGAGTTGAGAAACAAGCACATTCCTATGTACTCTGCTGCCAACCATAATTATTATTGGTAGACCTTATGATATAGGTTCGTCAAATCGACGTAAGTAGGAAAACGTATGGACTTTGAACCGTAAAACAGAAGGTTTGTGCTCTATATTAACATGAACCGGTTGAAGAGCTCGAATGTTAAATATTTTAAGTAAAAAATAAGTATCAAGGTCGACTGTGAAGAAGAACCAACGTTACCGTATCAAAGTACCTCTTTATCCAAAAAGCATTCATTTAAATCTGGTTCACATTGACACATACCTGGATACCAAACATTTCAATAAAATCACTGACTTTAAATTCCTTGTATTATAATCCAATGTGAACCTTGTATTTTTCCGCAAATTATAAAATTAGAATGGGGGTTTGTGAAAAATTGTAGTGATTTTAATAGTTGAATTAGTGAGTCGATGCAAGCTAAACCATCATTAAAAAACTGGAAGCACTGGACGACTGTTTCGTCTTAGTATGGGACTCCTTTGCACTACTTATCCACGATCCCAAATGTGAGGCTCGAGACAGGTACCTCCCTCAGACAATGGATGGATAATTGCACAAGATCATGGATCGATTAGGTAGACATTAACACCGTTGGATGCCGGCTCAATGGTCTAGAAGTTAAGCGTTTGCTCGCGATACCGAAGGTTCTAGGTTCAAATCCCGCGTGCGAGGTCGTGGATGCGCACTGTCAAGGAGTTTCACACTGGGATGAAATCGCCGTCCAGAGCTTCCTGGGTTTTAGTGATGGGCTTGCTTACATCGACTCATGAATTCAACTATTAAAATTATAAAATTAATTCATACATAATTGAAACATAATTATTTGATATTGTAGAAGTGTGTAACTTAATAAAATGGACGTAGAAAAATTTTAAAAACATGTAGTGAAATAAAAAAAAATGAAGTATTTAGAAGCGGTAAAACATTACCATTCATAGCTAATTGGTAAATTCTCTGAGCACGACGATAAGGGATTGATTTAGGGGTTATAGATAAGTCATGAATTATTTTATTTATTATAGTACTATTGTTATCATTGGACAAAAATGGGTCATTGAATAAACGATTTGACCATAATAAAGATACATCTATCCCTTTTAAATTTATCTCCAGACAATGAAGTGAAGCTATCCGTAACATAGTATTCCAGTCTAATAGCATAAGACGATTTATTCTTGTAAGTGTATCCTATAAAAATCCATTCAAAAAAGATTGAATACTAAACAAATACATATGATTAATATAAAATAATAACTTAAGAAACGCTATAACTTTTTAACTAGAGTATGTAAATCATATTTCGTGATGGAAACAAGCTTTTACTACTTCATTTCGAACATTGACAGTATTGAAAAATCGTTCACTCTACTATGGTTGTCATAACTACTGTCATGAAAAACACATTAAGAGGTCAATATGCCCCCAGCGTTAATGAAGCGGTTATAGCTTGATAATTGGATGCTATATATATATATATATATATATATATATATATATATCATGAATTCGCAAAGATATAAGATACAAATTTTCACCACATAATATTTTATTATATTTCCACATTGTTTTAATAAAATACACTACAAAACTGTGCCAAATATGTCATATAACAAACATCTGAGCATCATTGTCCTATAAAGTCATGTTTTTTGTCGAAGTGATTACCTGAAGTATTCACATAATTCTAAAACATCATACTTCCACTGAACTGAACGATCAGAATAACTTAATTTCTAAACTGTAGACTAAAGAATGGTGTATGAAACATGTGTATATAATATCTATACATAGACTATCTAAATACACTGTCATGGTTAGCAATATGGTTTGTATAAACAACTAAAGAAGCCAAATCACTAAAATCTATATAAGTTCATGAAACAACTAAATGAAATGATATGAACAATATCTAAATATGCATATTTCCATTACTATGGTCTTAAACAATAATTATCATCAATGATTGATAGGTCCTGGGTTCGAATCTCACGGAGTGCGGGATCGTGGATGAGCACTGCTGAGAAATCCCACAATAGAACGAAACGGCTGTCCAGTGCTTCCAGGTTTTTAATGGTGGTCTAGCTTCAATTAACTCATGATTTCAATCAGTGAAATTTCTAAAATCTCCACAAACCCCTTCTGATCTTTGAAAATATACAATTAAAGATCTATCACACTGATGTCGATACATTCATACTTTATTATCATTTAAATCTTCAACTAAAAGTATTTCCATTATTTTCTGAATTTGTTTATTTTCTAGTTCTATTTACTATGTTGTAAGTATCAATTTCTTTTAATATTGACTTGAATTTTATTAATCTATGAATATTTATTCAATAGAGATTATATATATTCACATAAGCTAACTCATATTTGAAATTCAATCTTATATTTCTTTTAACTTATTTCTAAAAATCTGTATAATAAGTATGCTTATAGCGTAAAAATTCGTTCATACTACGTACTTTACTTAAATCACACAATAAAATGGATAGAAGCCAACATGAACATAATCTTATTCTCCAATTTGGTGAATTCAAAAATTCAGTCAAGTAATGTTCAATTTGTGACTTGTTTGAAAAGAAGTAAAAAAAAAAAGAACAAGAATTAAAATGTACCTGTCTATATTTAAAATAAAGATTATTTCAGTACAAAAAGTACAACTTCTAAGAATAAAAGTCGCATAGAATATAAGTTTTCATTGTATTATGGACAATTTTCACGATTTTCAGTTTGCATCAACATAAAAGTATCCCATCATATAATTAGGATTTATTGAAATCTTAGTTTTATGATAGTAATGATAATAATCGGTTATGGTTAATATATATTCAATTCATACAACTTATTTAATTACAACAGGAAACATAGTTATCATAATTAAAATCAAAGAGGGTAACGTGACAGACAAAAAAGAATTTCTTGATTTATTTTTTGGGTCCGTATGAACAAACCTTTGAACTGGAAAGTAGTCCTATTGATTAATTCTTCTAAACTATATATCTCTTATCAATGGTCTTTTGCTAATTAGTAACATGTTGATAGAGAGAAAATAGACGAGATTTATACTCAGCGACTTCAGGTTCAGAATGGAATTCTCCTACGATCACTTGCCCGATAGCCGGAATGAACGCAACACATAAAGCAGAAAACTTCTGTCTATAAAATTAAAACCTATAAATCCTCCAGGATAAAATCCTGACCTTATATACACATAATTAGGCAATAAGAATATGGGCACGCTACACCAAAAGCAAAAAAGAACTGAGTAATTGGTCCATAATAGATTAACAGTAACTTAGGAAAGGTACAATATACAAAAACACTTTATGCACCATGAAAATGTTCACAAGCAGGAGAATACAAAAATACAATAATTTACATACTTCATAATTATACGATAAACATATTAACAGTAACTTCAGATGTAACATTCAAGAAAGTTCAACTGGTCTTCATATTTATCCCGTTAGAGTAAAGAACAGTACCAAATGCAGAGTAAAGCTGAACTTAAGAAATATATTTCAGGGAAAGGAAGGACCGAATTATGCGTAAGAAGAATGAAATTCGGCTACTGTAACCGACTTCGATTCATTTTTTGGTTAACTAATTTGTTGACTACCATCTTGTTTAATGAATATATGCCACTCTTTGCTAGAAAAACGTCAATAATTCTGCTCAGTATTTATTTCATGCTACACAGCATGCATAACAGCAAGTGGATTAAATTTCCTTTTCTACTGCATCGTTGATAATAGGTACTGTTATTATTAATGAAAGTCACTGATAGATTCAGGGCTTCATACACAAACACTTATTTAGAATAAAACTTATGGGAAGCTATGTCATTCAAACTGACTCATAAGGATTGACAAACGGCAAAATATAATAGCTATAATTAAATAGTTTAATAATCAAACTTATAGCTTCTTGATCTTGAGTCAAATATTGTTCAGCCTGATTAGATAGAAACAGTCCATCCAAAATGTGAGCGAAATTCAGCATTATCTCGATAACCTTTAGACCACAAAAGCTATCTTATTTGAAGTCTTTATTTTACGTTGTAACTGACCAATTAGCAATTTTAAGAAACCAATTCCTAGAATATCAAAATAGTGTAAATCTTTTTTCACCAAATTCAAAATCTAAACTGTTTTGTGCTTGATATATATTATCTAGTAGAGTACTTACCTAAAGTATTCAATAAAGAACTAATTATTTTCATAGGATTTTTTATAGACAAAAATATATGCAAGCTAACTCACATGATTCTTACTAAGACGTAAAATCATCTTAATTTCAGAATAGTAGATAATTCTATTTAAAAAGATATTTGATTTGTTTATATCAAATTTTATGAGATTAGAAAGAATCGAAACAAATGAGTTCATATATTTATCTTCTAAATTTAATGATTTATTCAATGAATCATTGAACTCTTTCATTTGAGTATAGTAAGCTTTGTTTGGATATTGTTCGGGAATAAATTGAATTAACTGATCAAATAGAAGATTAGTTAAAATATCCAATGCTTTTAAATTACATTGATCTAATTTACATAAACAAATTGATGATGCCCATTTCAATAGATTCAAAGATGTAGATGATATTTTGTTATTTGATGATTTCATATATAATAAGCTTTGATCCATTGTGATCAAAGTATTTAGTTTTTCAATACATGTTTGATTAGAATAGCCTATTATATTAAGACACAAGCAAGTAGCTAAAACAATTTCGTGATTATTGCGCAAAAGGAAACCACGGAGAATAGCAATCTGTTCACCTGTTAAAATGTGTAAGTAAAATAAAACCTGAGAAAATATAAAAATCGTCACTTTTAATTCATTCATTCATTAGAAATTGATTGGTCTGTATTGATTAAGATAACATTTCTAATAAGGGATGGTTCACTATCACAACAGCAATGAATTGTAGAAAAGTGACTTTAACGAATATCGCCCAAGCCTTTGCACATATTTGAGTATGTTCTGCAATTACATTATTTTTAGTCATTATGTGTAATTAAAATTTGGAAAACTAATTTTAATTCTGAAACACCAAACAATATCATGTTCTCAGTTTTGAATAAATTAAAAAAATAATTATCATAGCTTTTTGTCCAATGAATTGATCTCATTTTTTCATCGTAAATACTAATTGTCGGAAATCATTCGACATCCAACACTGTTTGATTTAGGAACTTATTTAGCATTACTGTAATTAAACTTTTGAAAATGGTTTTTTATAATAATACTATTACCGAAACCTTTACTTGCAAAGTTAGCTAGTTCAGCGTTCATTTTTCTTAGGCTTTTTCTAACTGGATAGTGACTGAAACAGTGAATAAATCAGCGTTAATTAATTAACTGCGAAACTGAGCCGTAGTGACAGATAAATATTATTTGATCACTGTCGGTAAAATGATTATGTTTAATGATTGAAGAAGGTAAGTGACGTGACTCAATCGTTTGCAATGGTACAATTACCTTTGACGTGTAATTCTCCTTAAGTCATACATTTGATTGATACTTTAAACTTATTTCCTTATTTCATCCCCTTTTTGAATTATATTCTCCATACCTAGTCTTCTTAATATCATTAATGACACTTTTAGTACAACTTCTCTGTTATTCCCCACGTTAACTTCAAATAAGCAAGATGATGTGATGTGACAACTTTGGTAGATCCACATTTGTACCAGGTTTTACTTTGGTTGTAACCAACAAACTGACTGTCAGATGAATTTTAAAGTAAGAATAACGGTAAGTCTACGAATTCCTTAATTTAAATGCTATTTCAACAAAATCTACGTGAAAATGCAACATTTTCTTCAGATGGACATTTACAAGACAGTTAATAATCAGTGTCGTTGTATATTTTCTAAACACACATATAAACTTGTAAATGAAATAATATCTTTTTCTAGAGCTCACTGTTTGGATTTGCTTCAAAAATTCCTATAGAGACAATTGTTTGCAACTGAATCATTGCATCTATTATATTTAACTGGTTAAAAACATTATCGATTTCATTTGATGAAATTTTTCTGATTTCGATCCCACATTCAGTAGCCCAGTGAAACACTGAAAGAAAAATATTCAAACAAAATGACAATAAGTCTGCACAAACAAGTCCCCATGTTGTTCCGAAGAGCAGAAAGTAAGTACTAATGAATTGACCTTTGGCCAAATTAACTACATTACAATAGAACCTATCACAACAACACGAATAACTTCTCAAGGGCACAATTGAAAATTAACTGGTACATTTTTCATATAATTCATTCGCGAAAAATATTTTTGAAATCCATGTAACTAAGAAAAAATGACAAACATAAAGTCAAAGAATATCTAACCAATGTCATTAGTACTAGTGAGGTTACTAAAGTTTATAGAGCAAAAAATATACACAAATACTTCCCTGATAATGAGTAGATAGTTTTTTGAAATCAGTTTACTATTCACAGAACATATCAAATATCCTAAATCTAACTCAAAGCATTCTACGAAATGTTCATAGTTAGCCACTTTGTTTGAGCAAACGTCAGGCTAGAGACTATTTCTGAGGACATTATTTAACTGATATTTTCATAAAAAGACAACGGCAAACTAACTGAGATCATAAAACTGAGGACATAGCTCTGATTTGACTATTGGTTTCATTGACTGGTGATGTGTCGTCCTAGAGTGGTTTAATGTAATTATCTTGTCAGTTACAACAATTCTTGTCACCCGATATTTTTATAGCTCATTGAGGCATAGAGTAGTTAGAAAATAACACTTGCTTGTGGTTCATTGGTTGTATTCAATAAGGCTAGTAATTAGAAACGTTCGTTGGAATACTTCAGCCACTTGAAAGACCAAAGGGTCCTGGATTTCACCCAACACAATGATCAAAGTTCATACTATTACGTAACCTCTAGCTATGGCGAAATAAATATATCATGTTTCCAGGTTTAAGTTGCAGTCAAATAAAATTAAAAATCACACTGATGTATTCAGCTTTTTTCAAAATTACAAAAATCGAAATATCTAAAGTAATTAAGTCCACACAAAAAAGAATTTCCCGATCTGTAGCGCGGTGTGAATGAACAACAGTTGACTCATCAAGAACATTTAATGTACTTGAAAACATCTAACTTCTAATCTGATAATGAAACTTGGACAAATTGATATTTAGTTAACGTTTTTATATTGAATAAGTATTCTGTTGTAGTGATACATGTTAGAATGTTAGTTGATAGATTTTTATAGACAATTAAATGCAAATATCGGAGTGACTTACAACATAACCTATAAGTTTATTTATTTCAGTTCTTTAGAACACAGAACATAAACATCGTCTAAATTGAAATTCACTTACTGTAGAACAATAAAATAAAATACAGAGTAAAATTAACACAGGCTTACAAGCGTTCTTTAATTCAGATTTCATAGTTGTTTGATCAAAAAGATTACTATATAACTCTTCCTTCAAAACTTTCCTAAACTTCAATGAATCTTCAAAGTTCAAGCACTAAAATTAATGTGATAATGAGATAAGTATCTATCAATATTCAAAAAGCGACCCAAGTTAGACAAACATTGGGAACTTAGGGGCATTGGGCAGCTGTTTCGTCTTAGTATATTACTTCTGGCCACTGTGTATCCACAACCCTCTAGGAAGTCGAATTAAGAACTTTCAGGTTATCTTATACCACTACAATAGATTCCTTTAACCTCTAAGTGTAAAATGTAAAGTACAAACCACATATATGAGCTAACTAAATAAAAAACTTTAAAGCTGCTAAGGATAGTTTATTTTTCTTAAAAATGCACAATACGTCCATCAAAGCTTAGAATCTTTGAGCAGCCAACTGACCTCAAAAATCCAATCCAAACACAGAAACTTTAGGAACACTTTATCCAGATACATAACACATTATAAAAATATTTCGTATCACAACTACTTATCGAATTTGCTTAAAATCAAGTAAATCATTGTATGATGTTCTATCTATAGAGCTATAGATGATCAATCATTCACAGTACTCATACAGTAATGAATAATGGTTCGATATCAAAGTAAACTACCAACTATTTGATTCGAATTAGTTGAGAATTCACTTATATACTTAGTTTGTCTCAAGCCTCAAATTATTTCAAACTTTCAAGTTTACTTACCTGCAGATGCACTTACCTCTGATTTATATTTTTTTGATGTTTTATCAAAGTTATCCGCGAAATAGCTATCAGATTGACTTTCACAGTTTATCAATGTGGGGATATTTAAGAAATCAAAATGAAACTCTGACAGTTTTGTTTGTGAATTTATTTTTGATATTACCTTTGTGCAATTCATGGTGGCTACAAAATATTTTAAAAGATGAATTTTTTCCCAGCACATAATTGTTAAAATAATCAAACCTAACTATTAAATGTCTTGAAATCATGAGTAGTTTTTCTGAAGATGCTAACAAAATGCAGGTATCTATCTTTCCATCAAAACGAGTGTACGCTTCTTAAGTCAAAATAGGTGCTTTAAAAGCTTAAAAACATTGCATACGGTGAAATTACCATGTTAATGATAGTAAGGTTAAATTTGGGTTTATAGGCGGAATCACCAAAAAGATAAGTGATTCAGTAAACTTTCATAGACTAATTGTGCTAGGGAGTGTAATGAGGATACCAAGTGATCGCCTCGTATAAGAGAAAGTTGAAAAAGTACAAGGTGTGGCGAGACCATGATATGGCATAGGTTGATGAAGTCATTGACTTTCCAAGATAAGCTGCAAACTTCCAGGTTTTTACTTGCTCAGTGATTTCAATCAAAGATGAATACCTAAAGTGGTAATCTACAACAGATGTATTTATTCTCCATCGTGTTTTGGATTTTTAGGCCATTGTTACTCAACGTTATTATTTCTGCAATAGTATCTGCTCCTCTCTATTTTCGACTAGCTCTTCATTCTACTTTTCTTCTTATTAGTTTCTCTAGTTTCTGTGTCAATTCTGAGCTGTGGGCAGCTAAAAATACAAACATTCGGCATTGTTAGTTAATGACTAGAAGGCTGAAAGCCTTTACCTTAAACAAACAATGAAAATTGTTGTGCGTTTTCTTCTACGATTTGTCTCGTACTAAGACCATTAAAGGACAAATCCCTTTAAACTGAGGCACAAAAAATCCTCCCGAATCGTTTGCCTAAATCTCAGCAAAAGACTAAAATGTACGGATCATGACTGGAATAATTCACCTGACCACGATGGTCATTAGGGAATAAGGTGAATACGCTAGTAATGCACAAATAACACTGACTGAAATTCATCTTGTCATTTGATATTTGAACGTTTCTCAATCTTCTTATAAATGTACTACTTAGTAGTTATCACTAATTTTCATTACACATCGTTCGAAAAGCGCCAATATCGACACATCTCCCTCAATCAAAAGTCCCCTTAGGTGTACTAAGTTGCTTTCATCTGTAATATGGCTAATTAGTCAAGTTTCTCTGTAATATTAGACACACACATTTGAAACATTATTAATAACGTTGAAAAGTATAATTTGAATTTCAACTCCATAAGGCGAAATGGCTAACTTCTAGTATATGCCGCCCTATTTTTGTTCACAGTTGTAAATCCAATCGTCTTTTAGTTACCTACCTTTCGCTTCATCTACTGTACTAATAGTAAAGTGGGAAAATCAATAGCGAGGAACCAACCTTTCACGCCAAATTTGTCCAATTCCTGGCTACATGATTTTGGTTTACTGTGAATTTTCTTTTTATTGGATGTCTCAGGCCTAAATATGATTTATTAAATATAAGAAGAACAATGTTTTATAGAGAATCTACTAAGCTAATCAAAAATCCATTGAATTGCAGATTTATCATTATTATTTTTGATTACGTTTGATGCACGCGTGAACATATTAACGAATAATTTGATGATCTAAACACCCTAATAAATTGAAATCGCAAATTTAGACTAAAACCCATTTACGCTTGTTTATGCTTTAGAGTGCATTCTATTACAATGCACAAATATGTTTATTGGCAGTAAAATATAACAATTTTTCGGAAGTGAAACTACGTTTGGCAAAATTTATCCTGTATCCGTATAATCATGATAGTAGTAATAATAATAACAATAATAAACCTAATTTTCAAATATCTAAAACTTTCAATTTGTCACTCGATAAATTATATATTGAAAATTCAACCCTTTTAAGGATATAAAAACGGTTTTGTTGCCTTTTTGGCATTACTCTATGTTTGTAGATTTTTAAGGAAGAATTAGTTGCAACATTAGAATGGCTAAATTATAGGCTGCTTCTATAAAACAAATGTAGCTCAATTTCGTTTGTTTTAGTGAGACCAATTTGACATCAACTGATTTAGTTTGAACCAAAAATATTGTTACTAATCAGTGCTTGGTAAAATTGTCAGTTATAAGAAATTGACAGAAAATGTAACCAATAAAGAATTATTCTAAATCAATAGATTGAATACAAACTACGGCGTAGTTGGGTTTTCATATCATCAATTAAAATAAAACAATTAACTCAAACATTTTGACAACCTCCTTCAATTATAACAGCCAGTCGTTTTGACTTAATTCAGAGGCAAAGAAAAGGGTCATAAACTCACAATGCCATTCGTGTTACGTTTCTTTTTTGATGAAAACCATACCTGACGTCAACCTAAAGTTGTAAAACAGATAAATAAGGTTATTCCAACTCAAATGAAAGTTACAGTACGACCCTCAAACATTTAAAGTGTGAAGAAACTTTGAAACGACAAATTTAGACGACGCGACTACTGGAGTTCTCTAAGTTTGTCTGTCGAAAGACAAACAGATAGGAGAACGTTGAGCGTTGACAGGAACAACAAACTTAAAGGGAATCAAAGACACAGGAGCACGAGATTTATGAGCTTCACCTAAACTGTGTAAAAATGCGGTCAGGACACCTGGCTCGGCACTTCCAGGTAGTAGTCTTTTTTAAAACAAATAGTGTCAAAATATCTGGTTAATTTCTACAAACTTTATTAATAACTTCAAATATCCAGTTATTAGACATTAAATCTACGAACCTTTAGAAATGTTTTCCCCATTCAACATTTTGAGTCGTCACAAAATATTGAGCAGGAAAAGATTTTCATTAAGCGAATAGAAAGCATTCAAAATAAATACCTGATTATAATTCACAACGAGTTTTGAGTTCACTTTATCCGACTTGTTTGGAAAGAAAATTCTAGAACCACATTTTATTCCGGGTCCAGTTTTCCTTATATAGTGAACCTAAAAATAGTCAACGTTGCACATAAAAACAAGAGCATACTCTATTTGACGGTTTATAAAAGTTCCACAATTTATCCTGTGATGATACTAACGACACTGGCAATATTTCGTCATACACCGATTCATCAAATCTCAAGTTCAATAGAAACTCCATGTGATGTCTGGCAACTTGACGATCACTGTATTGCTCCCCATTTAATCTCTTCTAGAAGGTACATGACGCGATACAGTATAATATTCCGAAAAAAGCAGTTCGAAACCTCTGTTGTACTTTAGACAAAACTAAACTACATAAGTCTGTTTTCTAATATATATTTGCTTATATGTCTAACCATCAGTAATCAAAGTTGATTACAAATCATGAATAAAGATTAACTATCAATTGAAAAGGGCCCTAGTACTACAGTCACAATCTAAAAATGTTCATTAAATACATGGCTCTAGCCTTTACAACTCTTGATGAAGTGCCTAATTGCGTCGCAGTTTGACAAATTTTGAACCATTTAAACTACATAGTTTCGGGTTTTCTTAAGATTGCCAACTCCGAAAGGCAAAAAGAACAGTATATAACATCTGAAAATTTAGAAATTTCCACATAACTGATGGAATGAAAACTCTCCCACAAAAATCGGTTAGATAAAAAAAATACTCAAGTAATTCAACCTTAGAAGAGTCTTGAGCACGGCAATAAAATCTCAAAAGTCAAACTGTGAAAGCAAAATTCGAAATTTTTCGTAGCAGAGACCGAATACTATATTACTCTCCAGAATTTACATAAAGACTAATTAAATGGTGTTAAGTAGTATCCTACACTATTTATTTATTCGACCACAACCTTAAAAATGCCTTTATATACCGGTTGTCTAGTAACCTTTGGTTCAGAAACCTAATCCGTGGTGACAAGAGTGAAAACATTTGTTACTGAGTTATCCATAGCTCCAAATAAAATATGAAAATTAGGTGTCCGCTACAGCTGTAGTGGACATTATTGTGATGGAATAAATGGTTCCTTTTAACTTCCACCCTGAACTTTCCAAAGTGATATCAAACCGCATGTAGCTGAAAACCATCAAGGTTAACTTATTGCATACAGAGGATTTTTCTCAGTGTCAGTAAATCCACGATGATTATTTGATGTAACATTTGCCCGACAGTAGTCAACTCAACTTGATTGTGACGAAATAGAGAGGGAAAATTTGATTAATTAGATTTCTCAGAATAGTTCATCACGACTGAATCAATATTTATATATTCAGTTGGTAGCCTAAGGCCCTGAATGCAGCCCAGCAGCTCAAAGGTGTGCACTACTCGTTACTGTTATTGTAATATTTTCAATTAGCTAAAACAAATCTCTGTATGAAATAAGTTCGAGTTACTATCAACGTTTTGGCTCCATAATTTGAGAGCGTTCCTCTTTTCTTCCGTGAACACTCTTTTTTGATAAAATATAGAATAACAAGTAACTAATCACACCATCCCACGGAACCCAATAAGCTGAACTGACAAGTATATCCAATATCTTTGTCATGGACTTGGATCAACCGACCAACTTTTTTCCCTCTCCTCTTGTTGTTTTGGTGTGGTTCCAGGTATTTGGGGATGTTCAATGAGTGGCAGTCTAGCTACTCAATTGTACCAATTCTAATCAGTTTTGCAGCCTTTGTGAATTTGTATATCTTGTAGTTTGAGTGAGTGTGTTTGTTTCGGAGTAGTAGTGTTTCTGAATATTAGTACCTGTTACATTACTAGACTGGAGGTTGGTTGCTTTCATTGTGAAAATAATAAGATGGTACTTTGAGCGCTGAGAGCAAACAATCTTTCCAAGAAATAAATCAGAAACTTGGTAATGTGTAAGAAGATATAATTGAAAGGATAAGAGAATGAACAGATATGATAGTAAGAGAATCAGGAAGGGTATGGTAATCCATGGGTGAATACATGTTTGTCAAGTTTCTTCTTAAGGCTATACACTGAGAAGCCTGTAGTCACTTCGGCTAGAAGAGCATTTCAAGTGATGCGAGTGGCGGTGAAAAAATTGAGAGCGTAGCTAAGACTTTACTCTTTGATGTTAAAAAACCTTCATCGGTTGCCTAGGAGAGCGTGGAGATGTCCTGATAATATGCTCCTGGCTTGACGTACGTTGTTTGCCATTACCAAATCGCCTCTTAATAATCTGAGTTTATGGGGTCTCTCCTCGTAAGAATATATTTGAAACAGTCTTTTCACTTGGTCTAGAGGATGTATCTCTTTTGAAAAGAGGGGACGAAACGACATCGCAGACTTCAAAGTGAGGCTGGATGTACGTTCAAAAGAGTGCTTGGAGCAACTCTGTTGCTGCATCTCTTAAGCATTTTGAGCAGGCATTTAAATTAACCAGATACAACGAGGACTGAATCAGTAAATAAACACCTAAAACATTTGATTCCGTAAGCCTTGTTAGTTTTACTAGGCACATCACCGTCGAAGGCGCACGGTAGCGCATCTTCACTATATAAATAATGGGTTCACCGTGCAACGCGACTTTCATAACAAGTTAATGTTCAAAAGAAGTATGTGTGAACTTGACAGAGTCCATGAATCAAATAAACTTCTCAGGGTCGATGACATAATCGGACTCTTACAGTTTGATCATTTGATTATAATATGCATATTACAGTAGGACTATTTCCAAAAGTCACCTAGAAACCGAGTCGGTTGGGACCTTACACGAGGTGAATGTTCAGCTAGTCATGAGTATCACTGGTAAATAGCTGTACTACGAATCAGAGTAGTTTACTTGTCAAGTGAGTGACTAAACACCCAGGAGAACGATGGCTTGAGTGCACGTAGGGGCAGTGCTTTTGTTCACAAAACTCACATTCATACGTTGCTCATTGATTTTAAGTTACTCAGACATGCAAAAAAATAAAAGAACTGGTTAATGCACCTAAGTGTCCAAACAATCCACGCTGGGATATATAGTGTCAGTCTGTGTTTAGCCATTTAAAGCATGAACGGCTCAAGTGCTTTCTGATCATACTAATAATCGGTTAGAAAAGCCATAAGTGTAGTAGGTTTTATTTATACTGCAAGAATATATGACACTTTTCCGCATGACAATAGTGGTAATCCCTAGAGTTTTGTACGGGCAGCCGACAATAATTGGTTCAACATGTGTGCGGCCGTTCGTGTCATGCTGTAAACTCAGTTTTCTGACGTAGTGGATCACTTAACCATATTAGTGTTTGTATACTTGCAGTCAGAAATAACTGTGCATACGCGCTAGTTGTGAGCATTAGGTTAAACAAAAGCTACGAATCAATCCTCTTGAGATTAGGTATCTGAAATCAATGCAGCCCACGTAGTACCATTAAACATGATATACTGTACGGCGTCTTCAGTTAACTGAACGTTCATAAGCCAATAAAGTGAGTGCAAGCCAAAGTGAGTATAACTTTCAACCCATCTCTATGATAATGGTATGAACTTTAAGTTAGTGTTTGCATAAATACGATAATGATGCTTTCAGTCTGCAGGAGATTAGCTTGACTTCAGACACTGATGACACGCAAATGGCTGTCGTCAAACCTCTAGAGTTTCATTAGTATCCTTTACCCCTACCGGAAGATCTCTTCTCCAAACTTAACGATGGCAGGTATTTCGCGAAATTGGATTTATCAGCCGCATATTTACAAATCCCTGTATCTGGTGAAAGTAATGATCTAACCATCATCACATACTAAGGTTTGTTCCGATATAACTCACTACCTTGTGGATTGAAGACGGCGCCCTATATTTTCCAGCAATCTATGGATAACATGTCACTAGGCATTCAAGGAAAAGCAGCTTATTTAGACGATATCATAATTATGTGAGCATACAAAATGGACTCACACAAAAAAACTGGATCCCTACCCCATGATTTCTCTTGGGACTGGTCAGTCATTACGGCACCATCCTTCATGACTTCCACCGTCTGTGTGTTCTAGTAAACCATCTGCTGGAGAACAACACAAATAGGATTGGTCAGCGAACTGTCACGCATCTTTCAAAACAATCAGGCAACTCCTAGCTTCCAATCTCTTGCTGACTCATTATGATCCTTCATATCCATAGTGGTCGCTTCAAATGCTTTGAACTGTGATATTGGAGGAGTAATCTCTCACATTTTTTCTGATGTGTCTGAAAAAGCAATCTCCCATGCTGCCAGATTATTGACAGTGACAGAGCAGAAATATAGTCAAATTGAGAAAGAAGCTCTGCCAATTGCATTCGCAGTAAAAACGTTCAAGAAGATTATATTTGGTCGGCATCTCACTTTAATAAAAAACCATTATCCATTCTTGCCATATTTAGGTCTAAGAAAGGGATTTCTTTCCACATTGCTAACCGGCTACAACGATGGGCAACAACACTTCTGGATAAGGACTTCATGATCAAGCATCAGTCGACTACCGCTTTTGGGCAAGTTAATGCGTTACCAAGAGTAGTATATTCCCAGTCAAAAACTCTAGGAGACACTCTTGTGGCAAATATAGAAGCTGAAAAAGAAGTTCATCGTGTATTGGATGATGCAATCGAAGCCATCAAGAAAGCCGCTGAAACTGACAATACATTGAGCAGAGTTAGGTGCTATCTTTCCAACAAATGACTAAACAAACGTCTTGTACGAGAATCTTCGCATTTTCTTCGTCGACGTGACTCACAAATTGTCTACTTTGTTCGGATGTTATGGAGTCTCAAAGACCTAAGTGACTGAAAATGGTTCACAATTCGTTGCAGAATCATTCAAGCATTATTGTATCATAAACGGAATAGCACATCTACGTTCTCCACCCTATCATCCCTAATCAAGTAGACAAGCAGAACATGTTGTCGATACTTTGAAACAAGAATTACTAAAAGAGGAGGCGGGGGACAACTAGACAGGCAATTACAGAATTTTTAATGGACCACAGAAATAATCCGAATTCAACCGTCCCAGATGGAAAGTCTCCTGCAGAAAGCATGTTTGGAAGACTTATCTGAACTATTTTCAACGCCATGTTGCCACCCAAAATAGCAGATGGACATAGACAAAATCTTAACATCCGAAATTTTAACGTCGGCGACAAAATGTGCATCAAGTCTTATCTCGAAAAGTATCGATGAAAACCAGGGAAAATTATTCAAAGATCGGGAAGAGTTTTGTACGGAGTTCAAGGAACTTTTGGCTCATGTATCAGACATACGAAATAAATACTTAAAGATAAAAGAATGATGCACACTCGAGATGTCCAGCTGAATCTTCCACTCGAGTTAATCTCGGATACATGAACGACACAGACATTCAAGAATACTGACAGGAAGACTTGAACCAGAAAGACAGAGAACAAAATGGGACGCCGTTGCAAATCAGTCGTCATGCTGAAGTGGATCCAAGGAAAAAATCTTATTCTTAGGAGGTGTTGGGACGGCTTCCGAGAACTATGACGGAGCATATGGAGGCCCTAGAATAACCGGAGTTCTATGCAATCATAACGAGATGTAGCTTTCCAGAATATCAACGTGGCATGCTATTGGTCAGTAGCTTACATGTTGATTTAACAAACACTAATATTTATAAATGCATGATTTTCTGCACATTTTGATTCTTTCCCGACAAGCACTTTCTCCAGTCTTCTTCTGTCTTCTCATTTGCAACTAGAGATGGTTCTAGCGTTCGAGTGCTCAATTCATACTCAGTATACCAGGAAACTAAGCTCTAGATATAACAAATGAGTTCACGATTGCTGTTCCAGAAGTGTTAGAAATTAAAAATTACTTATATAGGGCCAATGAGTACGAGTTACTTGGTTGCAATACAAATCATGTTGCAGAAATACTTGTCAACTTAAAGCACAACATTTATAAGCATGTAAAACTGACAGTAAAAACCTCCAACGAGTATCTAACCATTGTTTGATCTAAAACGCTTCACCTGAAAACCACTTTTCATTGTGGTATGTCATAAGAAACCATCAAATGTATCATATACCACAAGCGAGTTTGCGGGCGACGTTTTAGTTATAGATATATATCAATCGTCTGGATGAGTATATGATAGTAAGCGTTATAAATTACCTTGATCATAAGTCTCCAGATGGGTAAGATATTATCGTAGACTAATACTATTTTGGTACGTAAGAGAAAAGCTTTCCTTTCATGTTTTCATTATTGAAATAAACACAAAACTTTTGAACCAAAATTTTAGTAGGTACATGGTTAGACTTTATCCTTGAACCAAGACTCTAGACCTCTTTGTTTCAATAATCGATTGTTCCCGGAGGAGAACTCACATCGTTCTTTACCAGTTCTGTAAGTATTTTGAATCTGTCAGCTCATGTAAATAGATAAATTAAACCATCAGAAGACGGTGAGGGATCTCCCAATCCGATACGAATATGAGTAAAATGCGCATCTGGATGTGGGAAAACTCCAATAGGTGGACCTGTATGGCAGTCAACCTTAGATTGCTGACAAGCCGAATACTCTCTAACCTACTTGAGTAAATCTTTTTGTAAATTTGGTAATATATATCTGGCATTAGTTGTGCTGGTAG